AACTGGGGGGGGGGGGAAGGCGGGGAATAAGCAGGACTCATTCCTAGAGCTGTCAGAAGGCCACCACCTTTCCAAATCCTTTCATTTTAGTCATGAAATAAGCACGTGCTCAGAGTTTGAAAACTCAAGGGCCATTTTACTAGTGACTTCTATAGAATGTTATTCCTTCTTTTTCTTGTCCCTCCTTATTACTTATGCTTGTTACAGCACATGAAAATGCCAAATTTTCACCAGATTTGAAGAGTGTCGGTGGGGGTTGGGAGGAAGTACGGACTTAAAATACATGTTAAATGGCACAAACTTCTTACTGAAGTCTTAAGGACCCACAGAGACGTGCTGACACTTTCTTGACCATTCAATATGAGCCATGAGGCCTGTGGTAGGCTCGAAAATAGTGCATCCTAATCCCTGGAACATGTGAATGTTAATTTATAGGGAAAACAAGTCTTTGCTGATGTGACGGAGTTAAGGGTCTTGAGATTACTTTGCATTATCTGGGCAGGCCCTAAGGGCAATCACAACTGTTCTTATAGGGTGGCAGAGAGAAATGAGACACACACAGAGGCAATGTGAAGACAGAAGTAGAGACTGGAGCAAGATGGCCACCAGCCAAGGAATGTCGGCAGCCCCCAGAAGCCCGGAGAGAGTAGGAGGGGTCCCTCCCTAGAGCCTTTGGAGCACGGCACTGCCACGGCCTCAATTTCAAACTTCTGGATTCCGGGACTGTGAGAGAATTCCCATTGTTTTAAACTACCCAGTTGGTGATAATTTGTTACAACAGCCACAGACAATTAATACAAGACTTGTGTGACTTTCCATCAAGAAACCGAGGTCGGCCAAATGGCCTCAGATATGTGCCTCAGATTATCAGCTTCAATAGCTTCAACAAACTGAAGACAAACACTTTGACTTCTAAATGATTTTTGATCAGATTATTTCCCCTACAGGCAATTTTCTGTATCAGGTTAAAATACGCACTTGTCATTTCTCTAAGTCAAAAATGCTCCTACAGGGACTAATGTATTCCTAAATGGCTCAGTCTAAAATATGTCCCCTGTACACTACTGCTAGGGCTTATTAACTTAGAAATGATTAATGATTATTATCAATGCCATTTTCAAAAACTGTACTGTTACAAGACCACAAGTTTTGACAGATGTCTAACATGAATTAGTAGTAGGCCCCAATTTTCCTTATATCCTGAATTTTACCAAAATGCTAGCAAACACTGGCAAACTTGGGGAATATTAACAGCCTGATTCAGTTCTCTTTAACAGGCTCTTGTTCAGGTTACATGGACCAGAGTTCATTTTTATCAGCATCTGCAGAGGGCCATTCGTATATAGAAAGGGGTGGCTTCTTGTTGAAGAGAAAATAGTGGTCTTAAGGGGCAACACAAGAATAGGTTCCAAATAGCACGAGCTGTTTCCTCTGCATAAGTTTATAGCAGTTAAGTGAAGAAGGAGATTTTAAATTGGCAAAACAGAAACCCTGTAAATAGAAAATACAGTTAAGTCGGAGAGCAGAATCATTGTGAAAATAAAACCAAACAAAAGCTTCAAAGGCTAAAGAAACTGCTCCCATACACATCAAGGAACTTCTGTGTGACAAAAAGTTTTCATTTCGAACAACAGACCAACTCAAAGGAGCTCAAGAGAAGCAGTTTGTTTTAATGACACACAGGATTCTCGTGGAAATCAAAGGACCCGAGCGGCAGCAGGGCTCGGCCTCACTGAGAGGAGAGCTAGAGGGTGTCACCTGTCAACCTGGCTCTTGGTCCCTAGGCAACAGGTGTCTCTGGAATTTCAACACCTAAGGTAACATGTGAAAGGTAAGCTTTCATGGGCTAGGTGTTTTTGTAAAGTAGCTTAAAATGGCTTCCACAGAATTCATCAAAGCTTTCACCTCCACCATGTGCTTTGAATCAAGCACAGGATATAGAGTATATTCACCTAAAGATCTTTTTAAATAAAAGCCCCCAAACTAAGGACCACTGTATATGGGCATTCTTACCGACCTGCATGATAGTTAACATCCAAGGCTCAGCCCTAGAGGAAAGCCGATATAAATTACTGGGGCCTGAAGGTCCAGAAGCAGGCCAGGGGCCAGTCAACATTGCACATCAAAACCAATTCCACGTAACAATTTTTAGCTCGTCTGCCTTTGCCAGGCAGTCTGAAGCCACTGAGCAAACCAAATCTGGTTTCCACACAGTTTCTGTTTTGCAGGACAGTCTCCAAAGCATTTTGGACACCGACAGCCTGATCAAAGCAGAGGTCTCCCAAACATTCAGACCTACTTCACTCTTCCAATTACACGCAGAAGTTCTAGTGTCTTAATTGTTCCCAGTTTCATTTACTTAAAACAACAAACCAAAATCGTGGTTACAGTCAATGATTGGCAAGAGGCCGTCTACCATATGGATATGACCATGTCAGAGAGGAGTCCCGGCAACCATACGGATATAGCAACTTACATAATGCATTTTACAGCGCTGCAACACTGGACCGTTTTTAGAAGGATTTCATGATTTCGAGGGAAATTAGCATCTGAAGCAAAACTCAGCACTTACCAAAGCTCACTGAACTGTACACACTTAAATTTAAGGGGGTAAACTTTACTGCTTCTAAATTATACCTCAGTAAAGCTGGCTTTAAAGCAATTGGAGAGCTTTACAGTTTATGAGGTAAGGTGCTCACAGCGCAGTTTGGGGCCAGTGTTGGGCGATAAGGTTATCACCGCAGGCAGCTACCCTCTGGGAGATGACGTGTAACATACCTGAGAGATTAGAGCTGGTCTGGCGGCCACGGAATCGCGCCCCTCCCAGCTCCCCGCAAGGAGACCCTGGGCTCCAGGGAGAGGGCATGGTGGGGAGTCCAAGGCCGGCTCCTGGAGACAGGAAACTCCTCAGCGCTGGGACCCTGGGTCGAGGAGGCCCTGTCAGCCTTGTATCTGAGACCCTAAGTCCTTTCATGACTCCAGAGGTCACGCGTGCCTCGTGGTCTCTCAGTTCTCAGCCTCTCCAGGCCTCCTCCAGCCCCATCTCCCTTCCCCCTTATTGTCACCCCCCTCAACAGTCTCTTGTATGTCTACTGCTAGCTCAGCAATGGCTCCCCCGAGGATCCCCACTACCGGCTATTTCTCTCCCCACTCCCTTCTCTGCCTGAGAGCTGTGCCCTGGGACCTTAGCTGGCGGACACTCCAGCCTGCTGCAGGCGTTCTCCGGTCACCACAGCCACTGGCAGAGGCAGGGTGGGGCCCACCAGCACTGGTGTAAGGCAGCAATCAGTCTTTATGACCGGCGTTTACACGGTCTCAATGAAAATAACTTTCCTTTCAGAAAACCTTGCTCACCTATTTTGAAGTTAACTCAGGAGACTCATCCAAAAGGAAAAACTGAAAAAGCAAACCTTTAGCTTTATTAAGATGTCACCCTCTCCTCATCTTTTGCCAACGCCCTTCATAAGAAAGGATGTCTTTTAGATATCTCAGGAGCAAAATTTTTTCTGGTCAAGACAGGAGAGCTATTTGTCTTCACGCATACTTGGATGTTAAATTCACCTTTGGTCAAGGTCCCAGTATGCTACTCAAGCCCATTCCTGAACCCAGCGTGAGGGTCTGCAGAGGATAGAAAGTCTTTTCAGCGCTTACTGAAGGAGTCCTTAAGTATAAAAGCCATCAGTTGAATGGGTTCGTAAACACAAATTTAAGGAAAAGCCCTCAGTGAATGGGTTCACAAACACAAATTTAAGGCACAGATGATGTGCAGGTCATATACGTACATGATTGTATGTTTGAGTCTACTAAAGTTCTTATTTCAATTCTGCTTAGACTTAACGTATTCTCACTTTAATTTTGTTTAGAAGGCCACTCTTGGTGGAAGAGAATGAACGTGCAGGGTACGTAACATCCCAGCACTAAAGATAAAGCTGACAGAGCACTGGGAGTGCATGACCGCTCTATTCTCATTATCTGACCTGACCAAGGGCACATGTGCTAATGGTCTCACCGTATCACAGTCCTATGAAATGCTCTACCTAAAATTAGTCCCCAGCAAAATACAACAAAGGATCTATTTAAAAATTAATTTAATGCTTAGCTAAAGCTTAATTACATATATAATTATCAAACAATAGTCCTTAATTTCCAAAAAGTTCCTCTTTTGAAAATCACAGAATCAGAAAGCATAAACTTTAAAACAAGTTCTCGGAATATTTACAACATGGTATAAACATTATAGAAGACCAAGGATCTTAAATTGCCTGGGTGTAGCTCATCAGCAAGGCGTATTCTTTATTGCATATATAACTCACATATGTGGGATTTTAAATAAAATGACAGACTATGAAAATTCAAATGCATGTATTTTTGTAAGCTGGTCGGGGGTAGACTCATGAATAAGACAGGACAGTCAGCCCGAAACCATGCAGTTAGGTTTGTGGGGCTATTATTTTCAAAAGTGAAACTCGTGTTCTTTTCAAAAACCTATGTTGCATATATTATTCAGAGTTCATATTAAACCCACATTAGACTGTAATGCTGATTCAAGGAAGAAAGTTTCCATTCACCCAATGACTAAGTCCACACTCCACTCTCAATTTTAAGGCAGCAAAGCTACAGTGATAGCGACTGCTAACTGAAAGGTGAAGAACACTTAGTCACTTGCCAGCCCTTTTGTTGCAACAGTGTAGTAATTCCCTAAGATGATTGGCTACTGAATAATTTTCTGCCGTTAAAAGGCTTATTCTGTAAAAAAACACCACAAATTTCCAGTGTGAAAGTAACTCCATGGTGGTATAAATATATATATATGCATAATTACACAATTTACACGGCACACATCGTTTACAGGGAACAATTAAGTGAGGGTTAATTTGAATAACCATATAAAATATTTCTGTAAACAAAGTATGACAGGCAGTAAGGAAAACATTAACAGGCTTTCTAGAAATGATGTAAATTCTTTTCATTCCAAAGAAATTGCATTTAAGGACACAGTATTGAATATTAATAATGTTCTTTGTATTAAAACAATCAGTATTTTACAGTTTAAGAAACTTTACATATATACAAAATTTATACACTGGGAATGGTATTAAAGCAAATGGGCTTTTTAGTCTCACAGATCTATTTTCCTTCAATCAAAGACTTAAATTCTTTCACATTGTGGTCACTTGCAACACACATAGCATGGTCCAGAGCGCGAACACTTGCAAGGAGTTTTACTACCTGTTTTATGTTCTCCCTAAAAAAGAAAAAAAAAATGTAGCAACATCTCATTAATTAGTACAAAAGCCTTCGAAGGAGAATTTGTTATTGACTTTATGACCATTTTTGAGGTTTGCAATCAATGTTTTCAAGCACACATTTTTAAAGAAGAAATAAGAAAGCTACTGCATATAAAATTGTCCATGTAAAACAAAACTGTATAGTTTGAAGGGCTAGCCCAGAGATCAAGGATCCACTTTCCACAAAAAATACACCCCAAAATTTCACTCAAATCAATTATATCATTAACATCTAGAAAGGAAGGAAAGCAATCTACCGCCAAACTACTTTCAGAGCCCTGCCTCCCTTTCCGGCCCAAACTAGAGTCTAAGCTCTTTCAGAACGTAACTGCCACACAAATTATATTTGTGTCTTCATCCCCAATCCATCCACCAATCCAGCATACTCTCGACTCTTCTAAAATTCACTAAGAAAGCATTAAACTGGCTTCTTCTATCACCCAAGCAGCAGTCACTCTGTGTAGCCCGCAAATGTTAACATACACCTAAGTTACCTAGAGGGCTGCTGAAGCATGGATGGCTAGGCCCCAGAGCCAGAATTCTGACTCGGTAAGTCGGGTGGGGCCTGAGAAGTGGCATGTCTAACAAAGCTCCCAGGTGAGGCTGATGCCGCACGCGGGTCCATGAACCGCTTTAACATGGATTTGAACCAAGTGTGAGAAAGAGCACACCATGTGATATTAGCGGTCTCTTTCCTCTGCAAATTGTAGCAAGAACCTTTTAGGGAAGGATTATAATTTGTAAAGCTTTGTAACTAACCCAAATGGAACTTATTTTACGGACGTGCATGGCACACAGCAAGCGCTTATAATAACTGCTAAAGTTCTTTTCTGTAGAAAAATAAATGCCATTTGTTGATATTTAACTTCCTAACAAAAACACTATTTTTTAAAAATCTTTTTAAGTTTATTTATTTTGAGAGAGAGAGAGAGGACACGCATGTGTGCTCAAGGGAGAGGCAGAGGGAGAGACAGAATCCCAAGCAGGCTCCCTGCTATCAGCACAGATCGCCATGCAGAGCTCAGTCTCAGGAACCCTGAGATCATGACCTGAGCTAAGATCAACAGTCACAAGCTTAAACGACTGAGTCACCCAGGCGCCCCAAAACACTGTTAAGTATATATAAATCAAAGTTTAAAAAGTGAATAGGATTTGCCTAGAAAAAAACACTAGGAAGAAATATTAGTGCCAAAAAATAACAACAAAATGACCCACACCAAAGATGAAATTAAAATATGAATCAAAATCATCTGCTAAAGAATTTTACCACTAAAATCTTTACTGTCTACTTGGTTTTTAAATTTTATTGTAAGAGACAGCAATTTTTTTCTCAAGAAAATAAGTTTCTTTTCCATGGCAGGGAAATAAGGGAAAAGAAAAAGTTTTGTTACAGGGGTATGACCCAATGGTATACATTCTGAAAATGAGAACTCTGACATTTGGAAGAATATATGAAGTGAAACTTTTAAAAAGAAAATCCTTTCAAACTGTACTAGGTATTCTTACTTTTTATACTAGAGATTTATCCTCAAATTACATGAACATCCAAGACAATGTCCACAAACAGGGAGAATGGTTCTTTTATTCACTCCTCCTTTGCAACCCCTGGCAAAGAATACGTACAAGCTGCTCCCTCAAACCATGAGCCTATGTCTCTATGTCACAGACCTTTAGTCTATGGTATGGACACCAAGAAACACAGAACACACCGCTCCCCAAATTGGCCAATAACCTTTCATATACTTCAAGTTCCAGTGACCGGCTTTTTCAGGGTTTACGTCTTATATAATGAACCCCGAGAGATGAAGATCCAGGATAATCTAAAAGCCTGAAGTCTCCCCAGTTCTTCAAGGGAGGAGACAGAGAAAACATTCAGTCTCTTTAGAGGTGCTGCTGAACCAAGTCTCCCTTCATACCTTCACAAATAACACATTGAAAAAAGATTAGGTAAAACAGCAAAAATAAAAAATGATGTGTTTTTGGTAGGTTTATCAATACTACGTCAATATACAATTCAAAGTAAAATAGTGACATGACTCTAAGGCATTTTAATAATAATAAATATGACAAAAACTAAAGACTCAAGACCGTTTCATTCAACGATTACAAAAAATTACCTTGCGTTTCTTTTTTCCACATCAGAGCATCCGATACTGTTTCTGTAGATTGTATCTGCTAAGTGTACAAGGTATCGACAGAAGTTTTCTAACTGAGAAATAGTTCTCTCTCCTTTCAGATTCACGAACCACTGCTTGGGGAAACAATTGATTACCTATGAAGAAGAAAGATGTAAAATGAAATAGAACGAAATAAAGGGTCTAAAGCTGACCCCAAACAACGGGCATAATGTATGCAGAAGGCATGCTGCTGCACTATCTACAGCTAATCACTCGAAAGGGAGATTCTCTTAAATCTGACTGCCCATGTTAACTATACAAATATACCTGAATATACTTGTATTTTTAACTTCAACGGATTGGTATTCAAAACAAAACATAAATAACCTCCAGTATTTAATTAGGGACATAAAACTGATAACACAATTGCTTCATTCTCCTGTCTTCCAGGAATCCCTAAATGAACTGAATTGTCCTTTTATTGGCAGCTTTTGATATAAAACCATGTGCAGCAGAAGCATCATCCTGCAGCCTCCCCGTCCTGAACAATTCCATGAACAGGCGCGCATGCTGGCCCTGAGTCGGGTCAAGACAGCATCGTACCAGTGGGGCACCTCAGGGCAAGAGCCTAACCAAGGTGAAGAGGGTACGGTGTCAGCACTAAACCCAAGCAAGGGGAGGCAGATTCCCACAGGGGAGAGGGCAGTGTACTACCAGAACTCAGCCCAAGTGGGCTGAGAGGGCTCCCCGTTAGGGAACCCAGGGATGCTCAGGAAAATGAGTGACGCCAGGGCTGGCACTAAGTAGAAGATGAAGGTGGACCACCAACTGTCAGAAAGCAAGAAAATGCTCCCTCAAAATGAGACGCCATGTCCTAAGGGCACAGAAGTCAATAAGGGGCTCTAATGAAGTCTGGGAAAGTTCCTGCCAAAGATGCAGAATCTGAATCCAATCGTCAGAGAATATCAAACAAAGCCAAACTGAGGGTCACTCTGCAAAACAACTGGCCCATCATCTTCAAAAGGGTCACGGTCCTGTAAAGGTCAAGGAAAGATAAGAACTCTTCCAGATTAAAGGAGACTAAGGAAGACACAATAATTAAATGCCAAGGATGATCTGGGAATTTCTTTTGCCAGTGATGTGGTATTACAGACATAACTGATAAAACCTGAAGGGTCTCAAAGGTTAGGTGACAGTAGCAGATAAAAGATGTTGACGGTTACATTGTAATTATCATAAGAACATCCCTGTTTATAGAAAATGGACATAAAAATATTTGGGACAGGGGAGCATCATGTCACAGACTTACTGTGACATGGTTGAGGGAAAAAAAACTTTGTATTGTACTTATAAATTTTAGGTCCTGAATTGTTTCAAAAACATTTTTTTCAAAAGATCAAATTGGAGGTACCTGGCTGGCTCAGTCGATAAGAGCATGCAACTCTTGATCTTGGGGTGGTAAGTCTGAGCCCCACATTGGGTGGAGAGATTACTTAAGAACATAAAATCTTTAGGGGCATGTGGGTGGCTCAGTCAGTTGAGCATTCGACTTTGGCTCAAGGTCTTGACCTCAGGGGTTATAAGTTTGAGCCCAGCATCGGGCTCATTGCTGTCAGTGCAGAGCCCGCTTCAAATCCTCTGGTCCCCTCTCCCTCTGCCCCTCCTCTGCTCCTGCTCTCTCCCTCAAAAATAAATAAAAATATTTTTTAAATCTTTAAATAAATGCAACTGTGTAACTCCCACATATAAAATAGAAAACAAGATAATATTAAAATTATTTCTTAAATGAGAGAGACCATTTCTTTAATAACATTCAGAACAGTATTCATCCAACTGTTAAAAATTTATTATTCTGAAATTACAACTTTTATTAATACCACAAAACTAATGACATAATAGAAAGAATAGATACAAATATAACTATACATATTTTTACGTAAAAAACTGCCTAGGGGGTTCACAACTGCTCGGAGGCAAACTGAATGTCAACATCACATCGAGTTCAATAATCAAAGGGGTTTTCTGAAAATTCTAAACTCTCTCTTCAAACAAAGGAAACTTAATTCATTTTCATTTATATGCTTTAAACACTACAATACATGCCATTTAACTCACATTTTGGGCTTTTTTGATGCTGTCATCTCCATATTCTGAATTCTGAAAAGCCATGAGAATGTATCTATTTAATAAACCATCTATTGATAGCTCCTGAAGAGTTTTATTTGAGAAAATGCCGTACCACTGAAGAAAATTCCCTAATAGCTAGAAAGAGAAAACAAAATTATTTTCCCCCAGACTGAAATGTAACTAACACATAACAATGTATACGGTATACAGCATAATGATTTAACAGAAGTATATAGTGTATGGTAAAATGATTACCACAGTAATATCTCTCACCTAAGTTTTTTCTCATGTGATGAGAACTTTTAAGATTTACTCTCTAAGCAACTTTCAAATATACAACACATTACTAACCATAGTCACCATGTTGTACATTACTTACACAGAATTATTTTATCTTGTAATTGGAAGTCTGTACTTTTTAACCCTTTCACCTAATCCCCCCACCCTAGACTCCTCATTTCTGGCAACCACAAATCAGATCTCTGACATTTAACTCACATTTTGGGCTTTTTTGATGCTGTCATCTTCATAATCTGAATTCTGAAAAGATTCAGACTTAAAAGTCTGGGGTTTTTTTTTTTGTTTGTTTTTTTTTACAAGAAGAAAAACTATGGAGAGGCTTTAAGCAACTAAATTAAGTCAAAGAAAATAGAGCAAAACACACCTTATGAAATACAGTGGACCAGGTCTTGCCAAAGTACTAATAAACAGTTTTAAAGGGTCCAAGTATTGCCTTGAGTGACTGAAGATTTGAATTTTATGCTTTAATTAAGTTAACTAGTTATAATGTAGACGGCCACATGGAGCTAGTGGCTACTGTACAGGATGGTGCGAAAACAGAACATCTTCCATCATAATAGAAAGTACTACTGGGCAAGTACTGATTCTTAGATAAATGTCCTCCATTCAAAATCATGCTTAAGTGAGTCCTACAACCATCCACAAAAAGATTAGAATGCATTATTATAAAATGGGAGTACCCAGCCCAACCCACGATAAAAATTTCCAAGTTTCTCAATATTTCTCATCTCTGTAAATGTTAACATTATCCAACCAATTGATCAGGCCAGAAGCTTGGATGTCATTATTCCCCTCTCCCTCAAGTTGTTTTACCCCACCTCCACGGATTCTGCCCATTTCTCTTAATTCCTGTTGCTACCCCCCAATCTAAGCTGCCATCATCTCTTTCTGGACCCTGCAGTTACTCAAGTGATTATGAGCATAAGTTCTGGAGTAGTCTTTCTCAAGCAGTGTTCTGTGAGAGAATTACACCTACAGAAAATTATCTGAGTGACCCCTTACTGAATTTTCCCAACTAAGATACATAGCTAATGCCATTCCAGAATCATGGAAAAGAGAATTCATTATGCACAATGGAGGACTCAAGGCTTTAGTGAGTATTTCACAGAACCAGTTTGAGAAGAACTGCTCATCAGTCACACTGGCCCGAGTTAGACCCCGTTTCTACAGTGAACAAAGGAACGACCCTGGCAGGTTATTCTGTGCCTAACTGTCCCATCAGTGGAGTGGAAACAACAGTTCACAGGCTGCCACGAGGATTCAACAATAAACAAGGATATGGCACAGTGCCTGGTGCACGGCACACAGATAATAAATCTGCATTATTACTCTCTGGACCTGCTGTGATCCATTACCCACACAGCAGCCAAGGTAATCTTAAAAATGGCAATTTGTCCATGTCACTTCCCTGCTAAAAACCCTTCCAGGACCCATACTAATTTTCAACAAAGGCACACAAGCAATTCAATAAAGAAAGGACAGCCTTAGCATTATTACAATTGCCAAATTATGGAAGAAGTCCAAGAGTCCATCGATAGATGAGTGGATAAAGAAGGTGTGGTGTGTATATACAATGGAATATTATTCAGTCATAAAAAAGAATGAAATCTTGCCATTTGCAACAACACGATGGAGCTAGAGAGTATGATGCTAAGCAAAAAGAAGTCAGTCTGAGAAAGATACCTAGGATTTCATTCATACATGGAATTTAAGAAACAAACAAGCAAAGAAGAAAAAACAGAGAGAGAGAGAGACAAATGAAGAAACAGACTCAACTACAAAAAACAAAGTGACACTTACAGAGGGGGGGATGGAGGGGTGGGGAATGAGTGAAACAGGTGACAGGGATTAAGGAGTGCCCCTGTCACAGCGAGTGCCGAGTAACGTATAGAACTAGTGAACCACTATATTGTACAGTTGAAGCTAATATAATGCTGTATGTTAATTACACTGCAATTAAAATAACTTTTTTTATAATTTAAAAAAGAGGCTTTGAAAAGCCTTTTCAAACCAACAGTTCTAGAACAAATGAACTTTAATCCAGTTCATTTAATCCAGTTTAATCCCTACACCCTATATAAAAATTAACTCAAAATGGACTGGAGGCTTACATGTAAACCCTGAAACTAAGAACAATCTAGATGAAAGGGACAGGAGAAAAACTTTGTAGTCCTGTGTTAGACAAACCTTTGTTAGATATGACGTCCAAACCACAACACGCTCAGGAAACCGTAATAAACCAGACTTCATCAAAACAAACAACTTCTATACTTTGCAAGACTGTTAAGAGAATGAAGACAAGCCACACACTAGGAAAGAAAAACTACTCTTTGCAAATCTTAGACACCTGATAAGGAATTTGTATCCAGAATACAGAACTCAAAGCTTAGTAAGACATTTTTAAAAAATGAACAAGGGGCGTCTGGGTGGCTTAGTCGGTTAAGCGTCCGACTTTCGCTTAGGTCATGATCTCGAGGTTCGTGGGTTCGAGCCCTGCGTCGGGCTGTGCTGACTGCCAGCTCAGAGCCTGGAGCCTGTTTCAGTGTGTGACTCCCTCTCTCTCTGACCCTCCCCTGCTCACGCTGTCTCTCTCTCTCCTAGAAATAAATAAAACATTAAAAAAAAAAAATGAACAAAAGATTTGGACAGAGGCTTCACCAGAGAGGACATACACAAATGACAAATAAACACAGGAAGATCTGCTCAACGCCATCGGGCACTAGAGAAATACAAGTTAAAACTATTAAAAGGACACCACTACACATCCTGTAGAATGACTTCAAAGAAAACCAACCAAAAACTGACCTGGTCTGTGGGGAGAACAAGGGATAACTGGGTAACATTAACATATCGCTGATCTGAAAAAATAGCTTTTCCTAGGTATTTACCCAAGGGATATGTAAATTTATATACCCAGAAAAAACCTGTATGCAAATGTTTATAGTAGCTTTAGTCATAATCACTCGAAACCAGAAACAATCCAATGTTCCTCAACTGGGGAATGGATTTAAAAAGATATACAGTGGGGCTCCGAGGTGGCTCAGTTGGTTAAGCATCCAATTCTTGGTTTCGGCTCAGGTCGTGATCGTACAGTTCGTGGGTTCAAGCCCCATATCAGGCTCTGTGCTGATGGTGCAGAGCCTGCTTGGGCCTCTAACTTCCCACCCCTTCCCATGCTCTCTGTCTCAAAATAGATAAACTTAAAAAAAAAAAATACAACTTGTGGCATATTCACCTTACAAAGGAATACTACTTAGCAATAAAAAGAAATAAACTATCAACAACACATGACAACACTGAGAAATTCCAAATGCATTAAGTGAATGAAGCCAGACTCAAAAGTATCCCATAAATAATTCCTTTCAAAAGACACCCTTACAAAGACAACCATAGGACAAGAAAAAGGGGTCGCCACGGTGCAGGTGCTGGCTACGAAGGGGCATGGGGGATTTGGGGAAATGGGAGAAGTGTTACACATCTTGATCTGGGTAGTGACTACGTGTCTATATGTAAATTACAGCACCTGCGTCATGTGGACAGCTCATCTCCTCCCTAACTCCAGTCCTCTTGGGCTTTCCTCCGTCTTCCTAGTGTATGCTGCTGTCTCTCCTCTCCCTGCCAACTCCTATTTACTCTTCTGGTCTAATAGCCTAAATTTCACTTCCTCAGAGTGGTGGAGGATCTTCTGTGACTCATTAGTCGAGGTGTCTGTGCCTCTTGTCACATGCTCCCTTACTTCCCTGAATGTCTCCTTTCATATTCGTCACACCTGAGATAATACTTGTTTGCTGTCAACTGTGCTGGATATCATAAGCTCCACGAAGCCTCCACTTCTAGCACATTCAGTGCTATAGCCCCCAACTTAGAAAAGTAACTGGTGCAGGGATGGCTGGGTGGCTCAGTCAGTTAAGCGTCCAACTTCGGCTCAGGTCATGATCTCACGGTTCGTGGGTTCGAGCCCCGCGTTGGGCTCTGTGCTGACAGCCACCTCAGAGCCTGGAGCCTGCTTCAGATTCTGTGTCTCCCTCTCTCTCTGACCCTTCCCTGCTCATGTGGTCTCTCTCAGAAATATATAAAAACATTAAAAAAATTTTTAAAAAGAAAAGTAACTGGTGCTTTCCTTGCTGAATACATTAACTGTGGTTTAGCAAGGCAGTCTGTTGGCTGGCTCGGACTCTGCTTTCGAACTCAGAATACATTTTCTCGTGTGGAAACATCAAACCTGAATAAAATCTTGGAATAAAACTAATCTGTAAAATGGAGTTTGGATACAGACATCGATCACAGCCTATAGAGTTACTTAATCAAATATCAAATTACTTTTCAAAGTATAGGAATCAAACAAAATCTGAACTCTTTTACATAGCCTAGAGACACGTACCTTAACTGAAGACCAAAACTGTCGTTGAAAAAACAAATAAGGCCCAGAATTTTTATTTTCCAAGACACTATGAAACAAAAACATGAGCAAACATATTGTAAGTGCTATGTGATTCCTAGAAAAGATTTCTACATGTAAAATAGCTGAACAAAACAATTTATCTTTCAAATTACCAAATAACTATATTCCGGAAGATACGTTAAAAGAAACTGGAAATTTATTTGGAGACAGAAAGGGAGAACAAAAAGCCTTATTTGCTTTATTCTGCTTAAGGAAACAATTTCTCCACTGAGCTAGTCTCTTTGGGCTACAAGTTTACACTAAATAGGTAGAGTTTATATTTCAAGCTACCTTTAGCTTTTCTGGAATTTAAGAAGCGTTCTCTGGAAGATAATATAGAAGATCATAGGTTTTTGTTTTGTTTCTGTTTTTTGTTGTTTTTTTTTTTTTAAGTAGTCTCCATGCACAACATGGGCCTTAAATTCAGGACCCTGAGATTAACAGTCACACACTCTAGCAACTAGCCAGCCAGGCACCCCAAATATTATCATCATCTTTAATGTTACGAATTACTTACTTTTTGGGATACAAGGGCATGAATACATCATCATCTAAAGTTCTCCTCATTCTTAACAAAAGTGCTTTCAGGTACACCTAAAGAATTAAAAACAGATCACACATTTTAAGAAGGGTTATGATAAAAGTTAAATTTTAAGGAATGAAAACAAGCCATATTCTAAATCATATGATTAAGTATTCAATGTCAAGTAAACTGTCTTCTCCAATGTTTTACCTTCTTCACTGTAGGCGTTAAGGTCTTTAATCCTCACTCACTACTCAGTTTATCCCTCAACCACCAAGCAGTAAAGCCACTGAGAAATCTATAAACCGTTCCAAGTCTACCGTATTCCTAATATTTAAGATCACACACGTAATCTGGTTCTGCTCAAAATGAAGTCAGTGAAAACAAGATGAAGAGCATCTTTTCCACCACATCTAAACAGCTCCTAAGAACGTACAGAGGCTGGCAGCAATCCGAAGTTCGGAAACTAGTTATATCTATAATCGCTGGTGGTCCTATACGCTGTTCAAATGTTTAAGCATTTTAATCATCAACTGTTACCCATCCTAGTAGTTTTACATTTTTCTTTTTCCATAAAAACACAGTTTTTTTGATTAGTGGGGGTGGGGCAGTGAGAAGGATGCGAGAAGAGCACAGGTGGGAAGTCACTGGATAATGACATCTCCTCACCAGGGAGGGATTTTAAAACTACAAACCATTATCTCAAATGTTGTATATTTCAGGCCATAAGGGACCAGATGGCCTGAGGGAATCAGATTTTCTGGCAAGGCTTCGAACATAATCACTCATCCCTAAACTCTCGCTCCTTTTTGAAAGGAGAGGGGAGGGAAAAACTTTTATTCACTGAAACAAAGAATTAAATTACCTGTGTATTTTTGTTTTCTGCATTCACTACTGAAGGGTATCCATTTATTAATTTGAGTGTAATTCCAACCATTCTTGAAGTCTGCGTTGTAGAAAAAGGGTCCCACATATTTTCAGCTATTACTATTGAGAGAAAAGTAAGCTGTGTTGAGACACGGACATCGATTGCAAAGGACTTAAATCTGCTGTCAAACAGTCTTCAAGTTATCAATGCCAACCCTGGTTTATTCTCTCTCTCTCTCTCAGAGAGAGAAAGTATAACAAGCTCCAGTCTTCATTGTCCTCTTAACTGAGGATCAGGCAAAGGTGAGAGGCACAGATTCGTTCTATTTTCTGCTGCTCGGTGACAATAAAGGGGCAGATTTCTAAATCCTAGGTGTCTCAGCATCAAGAATCCACAACTAAATTTGAAACTTATTTTTAATATTTTATATATATATATATATATTTTTTTTTTTTAAATTTCTGAGAGAGAGGCAGACAGCGTGAGCAGGGGAGGGTCAGAGAGAGAGGGAGACACAGAATCCAAAGCAGGTTCCAGGCTCTGAGCTGTCAGCACAGAGCCTGACTCGGGGCTTGAACCCACGAACCATGAGATCGTGACCTGAGCCGAAGTCGGACACTTAACAGACTGAGCCACCCAGGTGCCCCTATTTTTAACATTTTAAATAGGTTTCCATACCAATGATTCCTAATTTTTTTTTGAGAGACTGGCAGAAGTAATGAAATTGCTCCCCAGGAAAATGCATATCCACCACCCTCCTCAAACTACATATTCAGTTTTGCCTCAGAGTCTTTACAAGTCTCTAAAATGCGCAGATGGATCAATTACTGCCTCCACCACCAGGCTTGCCCCAAAGTCGTCTTCAAGTACTAGGTTAAGAGACATCTACCCTTTAGCCTTCTTGGGGCCAGAGGGTTATTTTATTGTTTGTAATACCACTTCTATGAGGAAGCACACTCTGGTTAAAAACTCTTCAAAACAGATTTGAAAACCCAAGGTGTTCAGCTGTTCAATTCGGATTCGGAAACCCCTACCTGTTAGTTTGGGCAGAATCACCTTTTCCACGATTGTAGGCAATAGCGCAACATCGACATCATCTTTCTCTTGCTCTCGTTCTTCACAACCGTAAAACAGCAAAGATTCAAACCACAGCATATTCTCAAAGTCACGACATTTTGCCTAGAAAAAAAGAATATTAAAAGCTACACATTTACAATAGTTGCCATTTCTGCTTCTGGCCATGATAAGAAGAACAGGAACAGGACTTAACCTTCAGTCATTAACAGCGGAAAACTGAACAAAATCTTTGAAACCTCTGTTTTCAGACAGTGGACCACAGGCAGGACGGGACTAGGACCCCTGAAAACAGAGAATCAAATGAGGGAGCCCCTGGTAGGGGAGAGCGGAGCAGTCTGGCTCAGTTGTGGAGACCACAAGTGGAGTTTGAGGAGGCTGAGGCAGCCGGAAGCTGCAGGACCCAGGAGGGAGCTACCCGGAGAAAGAACTGTGAAGCACACACGAGTCGCCTCGAGCCTCTGCTGTTTACCAAGACACACGTGCCCAGGGTGAAACTCCGCAAGGCCTGGCCCAGAGCAACGGGAGCTGGCGGCTGAAGGGTTCCCAAGGCTCACAGCTTTTTCAGTTGTTTCCAGGACGCGACCTCAGCCTTCTTTTCCCTACAGTTTACACCCTCAACCCAGCCCATCTCATTCATGCCCATGGCTCCGTCCACATGGTGGGAACTTCCAAAACTCTCTCTTGAACGTGACCACTGAACACATACAGGTAATGCTAGTCTCTTCCCTCATATATCTCCCAGGCCAAAAGGTCCTACTAATTGCACCTCCTAAATGTATCAATTTGTCTTATCCTCCACATTTTCTATGATCACCCATTTAGTTCAGGTCATTTCACACCTTCCCTACTAATCTTTCCCATAAGGTTCTAAGGTTTTCTAGGATCAAAGGACCAAGTTCTTATTGTTCATTCACGTTCATATCCCAGTATCACTACATTCAACTTTAGTTGATCGAGAAAAGGGCTGCATAAACTTGAAAGTAATAAACAGCCCTCTTGAGAAGGAATAGAGATAAAAGAAAAGATCATGACTTTATACCCAGCTGAATTTGTATTACAGCCCTGTGCCCTACCTCCCCTGAACAGCATTTTGCTCAAGCTTACATCTCTAGCTTTGAGATTAAAATTACCCAGGCATCATGTTATATTGTTTTCTAACAGTGACATAAGCCACTCACCTCAAGAGGAGTCCAAGTGAGAAGCTGCAGCCGTATGAGGGGGTTGAACAGCTTTGGCAAACAAAGGCCGATGTAAGCATCCTTATAGGACGTATAGTATTTTGAACGCCATGCTTCAAACTGGGATTTAATACAGTCGATTGAATAGAAACTTTCAAGGACATCTTCAAAAACCTTGCTGGACTCTTTTGAAATGCGATCTAAAGACAACAAAAACAACAAACAAAAACCCCAGAAAGAGATAATTTAAAATGTGGCAGAAAACTCAGAATTCAGTATTTTCCACATCTTCTTTGCAGCCTGAGTATCGGTCAGATAGGCTCGTTAATAGAGACATAATTCTTAATTGCAATTTAACAGAAAGGAGAAACAGAAGTTTAGGTTTCAAATGTCTGTTCTGCAAACCAGAGTCCAGGCAGTCGGTCTTACAGTTCCCATGTGAGCCATTTCCTGTTACTAGAGTTCAGTTAAATACCACCTGTCTCCCAACAAGTCATCATGTTTCAGTTACTACGGTAAATTAACTGTAACTTCATGAGATGCAAACTTTGCTCCTAGCTCTTCGGTCCACAAATCAACGGTATAAATATCAGAAGTGCATCACGATCAGTGAACTATCATTACCACTTCTTTCAAGGTCTGTTGGTGACTACAGGAAGCAGTCACCTATGGTATACTTGACACAGACAAGTATCAGCAATGGATGCTACATCTTTAGGTGAAAAGTTATTTGATGCCGCTGATGACTCGGGAAAAGGGAATCTTTATCATGGAGGGACCTAATTTGTGACAACCTACTTCTCCAGCTGGATCTTACCATCACTCATAGTGGGACAATCTAACATTTGTCATCTCCTACTCTGCAATAAGCAGCAGCATCCTGGATGAAGTATTCTTGCCAAAACAAAAGCTTAACCTGAATCTAATCAAGTCTTCAGACCTAAATGTCAGTTTCCATAGAAACACGGTAAATGGAAAAACAAATTAATACCACGAGGAAACAAATTTAAAATGTAGGGAGTTCTGCAAGGTAAGTAACCTGGTCTCTTCAAAACCTTAGTGCTTTAAACAAATAATGGGGGTGTGTGTATGTGTAAGGTACTCATGGACAGTAATTAACTCTAGGGAAAAAATATAACCACCAAATGCAAGGCATGAAATCTCATGTGGATCCTAGTGTGAAAAAGACACAACAACCCACAAAAACAGTCCCAAGAGTTTTATTTTTGGGGAGCTGCTGCTAAATAGACCTAATATTAAGAACTTTCAGTTAAACATGCTCAGGTGTATGAAGAAAAGTATCATGATGTCTGCAGGCCATTTTCAAATGGTTCGGCAATACACACACACACACACACACACACCCAAAAAGTTAAGGCAAACTTGGTTTGATAAGAATTGTTGGATCTGGGTGAAAAGCACATGGGATCACTGCTATTCTTTCCAGTTTCTATATGTTTAAAAATATTCACTATAAAAAGGGGGGAGAAAAATAAGCTTTTTCAATGAAATTCCAAATGGCCTAAGCTGACATAATTCGGAATAAACACAACCAATGGTGGGAAATAAAGATTCTTCTAGAAATGCCTGGCACATAATAGTACTAACTACTCCTCTTGGGTTGTAATTATTCAGGACTCCCCAAATCAGGAGTTTCTCTCAGGGCTGAGTGTTCTGCTGCCCAGCTCTGCCTCTCCAGGAGAGGCTGTTAGGGCTAGCCTAGAATCTGACTTTTTTTTTTTTTTTTTTTTTTTTGGTCACTTAAAATCCTACAATTCTGGAGAGTAATATCATTTTATTATGCAAGTACTAACTAAACTCCAAGACAAGGTGTCACCGCTATTTTTGAGAATTCATCATGATATTCAGTTAATAAAAATGGGCGCGTGTTCTTACAATGAAGGAAAAAGTAGCTAATGATAATGCAGAGCCCACGAAACTTGCAGACCATCGCACAGTAAAACCACACCCAAGCAGAAACCAAACCGGTGATGAAATCTCATTTCCAAATAAATGCCTAACCTTTTTCCAGATTGAAGTTGGTAATATCTGTAGAAGTTTCTTCGTCATCACTGGAAAGGCCTTCGAGGTGATCTGCCATCTTACCGGTCTGCTCTCTGGCTTGTCTACGACGCGTCCTAAACAACAAGCAGCAAGTTCCCAAACTGGACACAAGAGACTCCTCCCTCTGCAAAGCACCTGACAGCAAGCGGTTTTAGATTTACCTCCTGGCCTCCCGTTCTGCAATCCTACGTTTTGCATGCTCTTGATACAGTGCCCGATCTCGCCCAAAGGAATCAAGATTTGGTGCCATCAGAGCTTTATCTGTAAAACAACAACAGTGAAAATTAAAAGCCTTCCTTCAGCAATCTTGAGGAAAGAGTTTGCACAGAATAAGCCATAATGACAGACCGTTTGCTAATCTCAACAGCAGGACTCCACAGTAACTGGTAAACCAGATAGTTTTCTAGTTTAGAGCAAATCTCAGTATTATTCTGTGTTCCCATGAAAAGGAGTAGAAAAAACAAATGGAGAGTTCAACAACCCTATGTAAATACAAATGGGCTTAATCACTATTTTTATATCTAAGTAATAGAACTAGTAGATGCTAGCATGATGACCAAATAAATTAAAAACCAAAATTACCTGTGCAAAGGGAAAATTATAGATTACTTTCTTAAGGAAGGAGTTAAGCATCACATGGCTAATGATATGACAGAAAAGAAATCCTGGGTAGGAAGGATGAGAAAACAGCTTTGTTCTAGGAGTTTGAGAATGTATTCCATTTATTCCCATTCTGCTGTGTAGACATTCTCTATTTTTAGAACAAGGGCAGAATCAACATGTAGACTGAAACCCACGTCTGAACAGGACCAACTTACACTTTCTAGAACAAACTCTTTCAAAGCAGAATTATTCCCTTTTTTACCTATTTTTTGTCTCTTTTTTTAAAACTCTATAGGGCAATTTTCTAGTTTACCTTCCAACCTGCCAATTTAATTTATATTTCAGCTACCATATTTATAATTTCTAAGAGATGGTTCTTATTCTCGTAATACTCCCTTCTCTTTAGCATCTTCTCCTCGTGTTCCATGTAGGGCACATCCTATTATCTCTTAAAGGATATCCATTATATTTTACATTTTCTTCTGACACCTGCACTGTCTTGGTTTCCTCAGTCCCTTTGGTTCTATTGCTTGTGTTGCTCTCTGATGACCCTTAACTACCTCATGTGAAAGAAGGAGCCTAGAAGTTCTGTGGACAAAGGTGGGAGGAACCTCACAGAGGCATCTCCATCCGATCACTGGGGAGAAAGTCAACTTTTCTGTTGCAGCCTCCCAGTAGTTAGTGTCTCGGGCTTCCTCTGGACCCATTCTCCTCCTCCAGTGAACAGGCCTCTAATCTCCTGCCTAGGGTAGAAGGCGTGGGGGAAACATCTAACTGCAACACTTTCCTCAATTCTACATTTAATGAAGATACTCTATAAAACACAGATAGTAATAGAAGCAAATAAGCCAAGGGATAAGATGTGAAGAAAGTCATACATAAAATAAAAGACATCAATTTTAGGCTTTTGAATTTGTTTTTCCCTGATATCAGAGATGTGCCGCCAACAGCAGCAGAAGAAAATACAAACCCCAAAATTAGCCCCCTACTTCAGTGTATCCTAACTACCTCAGACCCTATTATTTTTAAAAGTTGCCTTGAGTTATTCATTCATATTTCAAAATAGCTCTGATATCAGGAAGTATGTTCCAGAGTTCAGCAACTGAAAAGATAAACAAGAAAGATGCCCCTGTTCTACCTCAACTGTGAATTCACCACACCAATAGGGAACAAACAGCTAAAGCCCCAATCTACAGAAGTGATTCCCATCTCTAAGAGGTCTCCTTCATTGAAGAAATACTGTAAAGAATATTCATTACTATAAGTACTTAAAATGTCTCTACCTTTATAGATTCTATATGACATTAAAGGAGATATGAGTAGATGACTCAAGTGATAGCCTCCTCCTTCACTTCTCTAAGAACTATATGCCATAACTGTGGTAAGTGTTCACAAATTTCAACAGATGAATTGTGGGGTTTTTTGCTTCTTTAAAAAAAGATCAGAAACACAAGCTGTATTTTAGCGTCCTACGTGATTTTTCTCAAACCTTTGACAATTAAGGAATACTCCCCTCTAGGGCAGTACTCTAATCAATACACATCATTCAATCTTTACTTCTAATTCTGTGTAAGTAAACAGCTCCAAGTTATAAATAACAGATAATAGGCAGAAAAAGGTATTTGATGAAATGCACAGCCCATACAAATCATTTAACTTAAAAAGGACTAACTTCCCTTCCTAGGTATAATGGTTACCTGTACTCTGCCCCAGAAATCTGGTTCTGTCTGCATCAAAAGTGATCTGGAAGGGCTGCATTAGTCACCTAGGTGCCCAATATGGCAATGATCCAATTTAAGTTCGTGTGGCAAAAACAGAAAGGTCAAAGCTCTGAGGGCCATAACACCACCTCTTTATAATGCCCTAAAACCCATCCCGAACACAGGATGTTTTCTCTGGGATCCAATATCAAATTTAAAAGAGCCCCTGTTTGACAAGGCGTTGGTTTCAGAAAGAGTAACACTAGGGGCCTTTGCACGTGGATCACCTGGAGTGGTTGCTCCACATGAGGATGCTGTCACCATCCAAGACCGGGCAAAAACCTCTGGGGATAGGCCCAAGAAACCTGCACTGTAAATTAATACCCCAGGTAATTCTGATGCATGCTTCCATTCAAAACTGCTGGCATAGGGAACAAAGAGATGATAAAAAGAAGCCATAAGAAATCCATGCTAGGAAAAGTCCTCTTAGAATACCCAAGAATATGGAGCACAGTGGAAATGTGGAATTAAAAGGTTTGAAACATCTGGTTCAAGAGCCTCAGCTAAGCTATTGAAGAAGAGGTTTCTGATTAATTCTGGTTTTCCATAACACATATTATAATGAAAGGAATAGAAACAAAATTTCTAAATTTTTATATTAAAATTTCAAAAACTGTAGGACTCAACTGACTCACTAAAAAACCCACTATAAAAGGCAAACTAGAGAATAAAAAATTTTTGCTTTTCTGAGGCGTGATGTTCAAAAATCCCCTAATCTTGGAGTGGTATCGTTTGTTATGTAATTAAAACCCCTTCTCTCCTCTTCAAAATCTCCCAGTCTCTAAACCAGAATCTTTCCAACAACAGCATTTGTGCTGGTGTTACAAACAGGATGAAATGGGGGGAAGATCAATTAGAGCCCAATGATAGTTGTCTTAAGATAAAATACTCATGTCTTCTCTATACTCTAAAGAATGAAAAAATAGGTACAAAGAAAGAGTTAAGATCGACAAGAGTATCAGTGCATGTTTTTGAGCTCCTTCGTGAAGCTGTGTTTCCTTAAACACAATCCAGTATGTGCCGTTACAAGTTTTAGAACTACCTGACGCAAGGGCAAGGAAATGTGCTTGTTTTAAAAAAAGAAAAAAGCTAAGCTGTCTGATTCTCAATTAGGCTGCACTAAGTAAACAAGGTTGTTTAATGAATAATAAAAACCTTCAAGATGGACTGACTTGAATGGCTTGAAAACTCCGAAGATTCATCTTTAATATCATCTTGTCGTCTTTGGACAAGGCGGGAAGCTCGCTGTTTGTACAGCTGATGTATTGCTGATTCAAGTTCATTAATCAGTGGCACCTGTAAAAATACAACACACTCCGTAACACCAAACTCTTCAGTTGCTTACTTATTTGAGGGTTCCATACTATTTCCGGGTTTCTGAAAAAGTACCCTCTATGGACAGAATGATTATGAACTCCCAATGGGACACAAATAGCAATTACGAAGTTTAGGCAACATCTCTTCTTTTAATCCATATATAGGGCTACAATGTCCGGTGCCTAGTTACTGGAGTAAAAGTTCGGTTAGGAAACTTAACACTTCGGTATTAGTAGAGAGCAAGTAAAGAAATGTCAATATTGTAGTGCTTTTCTTGCAGAACGTACTTGCAAGTCTTTTAAAGTCCACTTTTGATTTTCAGCAGCATGATCTACCTCAGAATTTGTGTAGCTCAAAATAAGCCACTACTGCTGTGTAATACCAAGAAACCGCAAGGGCTCCATGCGCAGGTAAGACTGGGAGTGTGCAAACTGCCCAACTCTGGACACATAAACTGCTCCGTCACTCGTGTGCACCACGCACCTTATGGGCACATCACACTACACTGCAGTTCGATTATACATTCTTCCATGTGAACTGCATCCATTTCCATGAGTAAGGCAAGTAAAATTTCTAGCTTTCACTAACCTAAAATCAGTATCTCAGACTTAGAAAGCTCTTCCTATTAAGTGTCTGTACTTTTGCGTACTTTGTTGTAAAAATATTAAAATTCCTCACATGAATTATCAGTTTACAAAGTCCATGAATTTTTCCAGGTTCATATCCACAGATAAGCATTCACTTGGTTCACACACAGTACAAAAGCTTACAGGATGAAACCTAACTTAAAAAGAAAAAACAAAACTTTCTCTTTATCAATATCTTATATTACAACCAAACGCTACGCAACTTTCACAAAACACTAATGACCACTACACATACCTGAGGAAACCAGAAATTCTAGTTTCCTGATGGTTAGTGCAAATGGAAAACACATTATTTAGAGTTTGGGAACACTGGCACCAAGTGTGATATCAGCTTCCTGAACTGAACAGACTGCAAATGGAAAATAAAAAAAGGCAGGTGGGATTCAAAGATGTCTGTAAAAAAGCAATTTTATACACTTGCATGATCCCATTGCAAAAGCAGCAAATGTTCCCAGAAAGATCAAACCAATGGAGTTATTTTAATTTCGACTGTGCCACACCACAGGCAACAAGGTCCCCAGATCGGCACTGATTATCTTAAGCAACTGAGCCCACAGACTCCATTTTTAAAACTTACGATGAGTAATTTTTTTTAAAGCAATTAATGCTGCGTTACTGTGACTTACGCTTCCCCACCCCTTGTGCTTTCACCCCCCCCCCCCCCACAGGACAGAAGACACAGGTGCCTGTGTAGCTAAGGTGCGTTCTGTCCATCCTGGAGATAGCCGACAGTCCTGTAGCGGGAGACGGACACACCTCAGGGGGCATCGGATAGAATTTAATTATTCAATTCACAGTTAAAAAATCTGATAATGTAATTTTCTGTTTAGGTCCTTAGAATGCCTTTCAATAAAGCTAAGAATATTCTGAGAATAAAAACCTTAAAACGCATTTTCAGCTCTTTCAGGTTTCTTAACGATATTGACTTGTCTTAAGAGTATGCACCATGACAATTTCTTTACCCTCTCCAAACTCAAAATTGTTCTGGACTATTATTATTTCAAGACCAAATTTAAGGCGAAGAACACAAGAAAGAGGACCATAGGGAAAAAAAAGGACGGAAAGTTAAAATGATTTTCAAACAATTAAAAAAATCTAAATTCAAACTGCTTAAACTTCTGTAACAAAACAGAAAAAAACCAGATGTTTATCTTTCTATGGCCTTACTCTGAAATAAACTTTTATAGTATAACTAAAATGAATATTCAAATGTGTCTAATTAGTCCTAAATATTTCCAAGGTGACAATTTATGGCATCATTAACCCAGCCAGCAGTCTCTTAATAAAACTCAGTGTGTATGAAAATGTCAAAATAAAATAAAATACTCATCCTTCAAAGAAAGGATTATCTACCTCTGTTTTAATTAAACTGTAGTCACTGTAGGGGTACCTAGGTGGCTCAGTTGGTAAAGAGTCCAACTTCGACTCAGGTCATGATCTCACAGTTCACGGGTTTGAGCCCCGTGTCCGGCTCTGTGCTGACAGCTAGCTCAGAGCCTGGAGCCTGCTTCAGATGCTGTGTCTCCCTCTCTCTCTCTCTGGCCCTCCCCCACTCAGGCTCTGTCTCTCTGTCTCTCTCAAAAATAAAACATGAAAAAAGTTTTTTTAAGGTAGTCACGGTACACTACACAAGATTTAAGATCTCCAAAGACACTGATCTAAGTGACTCTAACACAGAACTAGCATGCTCTGAGGTAGACAGCTCTAGGAACGTAGGAATTGGGATCTATAGCCTCCTGCTAACTGTTTTTAAAATAGTAAGTGATTGAAAACTATATGAACTAGATGTCCTGGTAGTAGTCTCTTTAATTCAAATATGGTATCACCTAGTGTATCATATTACTGTCAACTTTTAAGAATTAAGTTTACAGTCACAAGTATGTAAGTTTACTGAAGTAAATTCTAATGCAAAGATTCCAATACTTCCAGAAAAAACTCCACAGGGACAAGCTTCACTTACAAAGTGCGGTTTAAGACCACAACCCTTCCTCTCATCAGAGACGGTCAGTAGAGCAGCTTCCGTCTCGCTCACTGGGCTCAAAAGGGCTCTATCAGCAGGAAGGACACAACTGCCAGCTCTGACACCTGCGTCCACTTCCTGCCTGGACTCTAGCCCCCTGCAGTCAAACCTCTGTTTCTCTCCCACCCTCGTACTTGTCGCCCTAAGCCAGTGATCTGCCACGAGGGATATCCTAGCTCAGACTATAGCCGCTTCTTGAGAAATCACGTGATAAGAACGTGACGAATCGTACAGCCTAGACTCGGTGAACACTCTCAGCCTGCATGTGACCACACACTGGCTAGAACCCTTAAGTCCCATTAGGAAGACAGTCTAGAGACGTACTTTCTGACCTCTGGCTTTCACGTATTGAAGTAATCAACAGAGATAATAAAAGCTTAAGATACTCCTTTAAACATGCTATGCTTAGATTCTATGCTAAACCACAGCTAGAAAAAGGGAAAAGTGTGCCTTCTAATCCTGTATCACTTGAAAGTTTAGAGACAGGATATTCAAAGACTATTTTTTAAAGATAAAGATACAAAGTCCACAAATGCTTATAAACCAATGCACTGAATGCATTTATCTTTAAAAAAAGAAACAACAAAAAAAACCCCTAAGAGTTCATTGGAAAAGGGGATCCTGTGTGCAGTGAATTTAAAAAATGCAAATAAACGGCACAATAGAATGCAAAAACCTGTGCCAAGTGACAGGCATACTTAAAAAAAAAAACTTGGAAGAAATGAGACCTTCAAAGAAATGATGACCAATGGATGGTTTCTGAAATGGATGAAGCATAGGCTTATTTAGATGAAAACTATCAGCAGCCATGGTGACCAACTTTTATAGTTAAAAACAAAAAAACCTAATAAAATTTTGCGACTCGATGCACATTTGGAATTACTTGCAGAAACAGTTTAAAGATAAGGTTAGACCTGAACCATACAAAAGTAAATTCCATCAGATGACTCCCTCATATTCCAGTAATTCAGGGCAGGCCAATAATCTACCATTGTATAAAGGAGGACTTGCCAAAGTCTTATTTAAATATGCTTTATCTTTTTTTGTTTTCAACAAAGCCATTATGCCGCCCCCAAGACAGAATGCCGCTGATGAAGTGAAGAAAATGAAGCATGGCTTTTCCTCACTTCTAGAGTTGAACTCAGTGGATATTTTCTGAGAAATACAGAAATGATCTCTACAAGACTGTCTAGACCTCCCTAATTTTGCCTTAGTCAAAGAGATTAATATTTTTGCATTCTTACCTTTTCACTGAAACACTCAAGCAAGTCTTGGACATACCCTCGCATTTCTTGCAAAAATTTATACCGTTCACCAATACCCCCAGAAGACCCTTCTAATCTCTCAATAGCCCTGGTAGAGTCCACTTGGCTTTGCAGGTGTTTCTCATGCTGCTGTCGATTTGTTTTGTGCAGTTCTTTCATGGAGTCCAACCTTAGGAACACAAAAGGATAAATATAACACATTTACATCCAAAAGTCTATGCTGTCAGGACTCTTGCAATATTATAATAATGCATTTAGTTCCACTATTAAAATATAAAAATACTTGGAGTGGCATCTTTTCATCTGCACTGCTTTTGTCTCAAAAAAAAAAAATAAAAATAAAAATAAAAATAAAACGGCAGTTTACAGACTTCATATAAAGTTACTTGGTGGGCTAACCAAAATCTGTTTCGCTTTTCCCCCCATATCTCGACTACACTTTTTCAGAGTCCAAGAGGTACAAACTCAGATCTGTCTTCAACAAGATCATGGAGTGGCATTTTTTATAACTTTTCGAGGCTTCCACAGAAGTAATCCAAGAAGGGAGCAGAACAAAGTAGAAAGTCATCTTCTGTTTAGCTTTTGAAGGTGGGCCAGTGAATCTTCTTTGCCGATATTCTGCATCTGCTACCCCAGACTACATGTCGCCTGAGGAGGGAACAGAAAGCTAGGACAGGTCTTTAAGAAGTTGATCTGCCCTACCTGTCTTTAAGCTGTTTCTTTACCAAATCAATAGTAACGGGAGTCATCTCATTACTGGGAGTTTTGAAAGGGACTGTATTATCTGTTTTTTGAGATTTGGCATCAGATGATCCATAGGCAGTATAACTATAAGGAATGCCATAGGATGAACCATAAGGTATCGTCTGGTAAGTGTTCTGGTAGTACATGCTCACTTCAGTGGGCTGGCTTGCTTGAACCTAGAAAAGTAATGGGATATATAGGAAAACCAGCAGTTAATCATGACTTTGAGATTAAAAAGCAAAAACAAACAGCAAAAATTATATGCCATTTTCCAAGCAGTACGTTAATTGAAATAAATAATTGCAAAGTTCTTCAAAATCAAGTAAAACTAGGACAAGATGAACATTCTAACTCTTAAGGGATTACTGAATTCATTTCTAATAATTTTCAGGAAAACAGAACATCAAGGAAGTTGGGGTTGGAAGGGACATAAAAAAATAATCCAAGGCCATGATGTTATCAATGGAAGAGAATAAATGACTTGTTATAGTTAGAAAATAAACAGACCAGCAGAGACTAGAAACTGCCATCTAAATACCCTATTTTCTCAACATAGCCCAAACGCAGGCAAAACAGTAGGAACAAAAATAGTTTACATTTATGGGTCACTTCCACTGTACTACTTAATTCAATAAAACTGTTGTTGTAACTACTGAGGAAGAGATTTTTCATCTAAGTTTTTCAGTAAGTCTTCCCATTACAGAGAAATCCATCTTCCACAAAATAATTTTTAAGGTCAGAAACAATAAGCTATACAGGAAAGAAAGATTTTATCTAAACAGTGGTTCTCAAATTCAGTGTGCGCCAGGATGACCCGAGAGTGGTGGCTGGGCCCCCAACCCAGTTTCTCATCCACTAGGTCTCAAGAGGGTGAGAATTTGCATTTCTCACAAGCTCCCAACTGCCGCTGCTGGCTGAGGCTCACTTGGAGAAACACTGATCTAAGAAACCAGAAATTTTTCCATCACTGTTAAGTAGCAAAGGATAAAAGTTTCTTCTAAAAGCTTATCGAATATGTAAGTTCATATAATTTTCTTTATCATGTTAGTTGGATGAAGGACAAAGATTCAATTCAATAGGCAATACGTTTGTAATTTCACAACACAGGCAAAAAAAAGGTTTTTTTTTGTTTACTTTCTATTTTTGAAGCTTAACCTTTCAGTTCTTACCTGAGGGATATTAATTCCTTTTCTTATCTGCTCCTGTTCCCATCGGCTGAGCTCTTCATCTTGTTCTCCAGTTACTAAAGCATCATCGTCACTGCCCTCAATGCCTGCAGCCACAGCAGTGGGGAAAATTAAATCCCAGAAAAGCAGGGAGGGAAGAGACGCAATCCTGATACTTCACAAAAATCAAGCACAACTACTGGTATTAACTGTTTTACTAAAATGTTGATTATGATCGCCTCTTCTTTAATACCCCTTGCTTGTCTTACACACCGTCTCCCTCGAAGCAAAAGGCATTATGTAGTAGTAACATCTTAGGAAGGTTTCCTCATCTCTGTGAGCTGGGCACCAAATCAACAAAGGGAAGAACAAAACCTCAAAGTCTCTAAAGAATGTTAGGCTGATTGTATAAATGTACACATGTAAAGCGCTTAATACAACACTGGCCACACAGGACGTGCTCAATAAACCTGAGCTATCACAGTCATGCTACAGTTTTCAAAAAATTCCAGTCAGACACTGGTAGATAAGCAGAAACACCTCTCAAACACTAAACATACTTAAGTAAATGTGGGTTACTTCTAATCTGAATATAGTATCAAATCATATTTCATAGTAATGCAACAGGCTTACTGTCTTGTTTAAATCAAGTTACCTATTTCCTCGGCAATTTTTTGCCTCTGTGACTTTTCTTTCACAGAAAAAACTATGCGACGTTTCTCATCATCATCTTCATCATCACTGGCATCGTTCTCATCTTCTCTAACAAGGCGGCCTTTCCCAGGCTCACTGTCATGAGGAGTGAAATCTCCTAATTCTCGGGCCATCTGACGCTTTTTCCTTGCAGCATGTATAAAAGCTGCATCTGGAATTTCTCCTGGAAGCAAGTGGTAAGGATTATAAAATATGACGGTATTAGGGTATAAAGTTTTTATTTTCTTGAAAATATGAACGGTAAAATAACCTCACCAAGAGAGCCACGTCGTAGTGATATTCTAACGTTAGCTGCCCTTTCCCTGTTTGTGCCTGTAACCCAACTGACTTATTTTTAATTAGCTTAAATAGAACCCTAAAGTCACTAAAAATATATAAATATAATGGCAATACATATAGAGGGGGGATCCACCACAGCGGCTTTATTTTAATTGTAATTTTTTTTTCATTTTAAAGAAATAAGGAAAAGTAAATCAAATCATATACTAAAATAGAAAGCAGATAATTTTTTCTCAATTATATACTACTTTATTTCAGAAAGACCTCAAGGTGAACTTATACATACACACACACAGGCAGATAACCATTTTACCTATCCATCTTTATATATACACATATATATTTTATGATATAGTTTTATTGTCAAATTAGTGGGTGATGGGCCTTGAGGAGGGCACTTGTTGGGATGAGCACTGGGTGTTGGATGGAAAGCAGATAATTTTAAAAGGGTGCCCACAAGCTCACCTTAAAAAACTATTAGATTTATAGTACATTTCTCCTGAATATAGTTTTCAGTTCACCTATAAACATACCGAATATATAACACTGTACTTAATTCTTTTTTCATGTTAAAACACAGTGAGTTTTCTTTCCACGTTGCTGTTTGGCATACGTATAATTTTTAACGGTTTAACAATATTCACTGAACAGACAAAGCATAATCTACTATCTAACTGACCTTTTACCTACAGTAAAAATTAATGCCTTGCTACCTGCCTAATGTTGTTTTAATAGCTTTGTAACATCCCATCATGTAAATGTACCTCAACTTACTAAGCTGTTTCTCTCCTGTTAGACATTTTTTCTAAGCATTTATTTACTCAAAAGCCAATTACCCAGGAAACAGATTTGTCAATTATTTCCTACAAAGAAGTAAAAGGAAAGAAACAAAGTGTGGGCATAAAACTACCTGCAATTAGTTTTGCTTTTAGTAGCACTTCTAAAAAACTTAAAGCCTTAAACTGAAATACAGGAAGGGAAAAAAAAAAAAAAGACTTAGGTACCATTTATGCATTTACTTGAAGTCCCACATTGGCTTCGGATAACAAAAGTGCCTGACAATGAACCTGGAAAATTGTTAAGTTTCTACTTCTCTCACTTTATTTGCAGAAGGAAACACGTTGGCTGCAAACCAAGGTGTCATAAGAAACACCACTTAGCTAACTCCTTCCTTAACCATCTTTGCACACGGCCCATTCACGAGGGCTTCCTTCATTTCTGAGAAGTATCTGCAAGTACACACCTGGACGGAGAACATTCAAAGAAGATAAAGCATTTGAAAAAGCTCCACCAGCTTTTGGCTTTTCTTCCTCCTTCTCACTTTCCATATCCATCTCGTCTTCACCATGTTCACTGATGATAACTCCATCTTCTTGACTGGCGTCCTTAACGTGTCCTGTTTTGTCCAAAGGGGGTTCGTCTACATTTTTGAAAAAGTAATTAAAATTTTAAATAAAATGCATAAATTAAGAAGGCACTTTTTATTCGTTTATAGGCTCAACTTCGTTAGGTTTGGGTTGTTTTAATTGTTTATCAAAAACAAACCACCGAGTGTATGAAAATGAAATATCCAACAATAGGCAGTAACTAGGAAGTAAAAACAATATAGGGGTCACAGGGATGCACTGGAGGCCCGAATCAATTCTATCTCGAGTTAATTTCATCAAAATTTTACTGGCTTATCAAAATTAAGTGTTTCTTCCTCTAAACTCCCATTGGTACTGCTCCTATCTCTTTAAAGCATTACTTCATTAAACCCCAAACCCATTTAAGACAGCTTTCTAAGAGCAAATGCTTATGAACCAAATAAACCTCTCTGTAATGAATACATTAGGATTATCTTCTTAGTTCATAACTGTCACCCGTCACCTGAAGGGGTGAGATCCAAAAGTCGTATTCACACCATGCAGCTGTGACCCTATTGCCATGACTGAATGTTCAAGAGTCGATCCGTGAGCCAAACAGAGACAACCTTATTCTCTTTCTGGGAATCTGGAGCTGAGACAGAGACAAGTCAGAGACTGCGTAGCACTTAAAACAACGACCCGTAAACCAGGAAGGGAGCTGCACAGTGGCCACACTCTGCCGAATGGACAGAGCAGAGAGTTCTCTAATTCAGTGCTAATTCTCAGGCCATTCGTCAGACCAGCTGCAAGACTGCTTCTTGCCACTGCCTTCCAGGAGGCTCCACTCACCACTCATCTTTACAGGGTTTACTTTTCTTATGACTAGTCCTACTGCGCCATCAGTCCCAGGCAAAAATCACGGAAGTCAGCATTAATTTTTACTGTAAAGCACTGAACCTGACACACAAGAGACTATAGCACAATGACTATAATGAAATAGTAAAAGTTTATTCTAAATATGATATTTTTGTATTGTTTTCCTAGCATGTTTCCCTCCCAAAAACTGTTTCAAAAATTCTCTATGCTTCTCAAACCATATTCCACTCCCCTAAATAAGAACCTCAGGAATACCACTCCCTCATACATACACTTTTCACTTGACTAAAAATTAGGTCACTGTTTAAGGCTCTTTAGTGTTCTCATTTACCATCCTATCTCATTAGCCACAGCCTTCCTTCCGAAGTGCTTCCTGATGCTAGAGACTAAAAGTTCACTGTATCAGATGGATATGGTTAGATGAGAGTCAAACACTACCCAAATCTCGTTCTACTCTAAACCCACACTAAACCAATGGCTTTTAATAGAACCAGAAGGTCTACTAGATCAGATACATTCAGATAATGATTCCTGCAGATCCTAAAAGAGCAAATACAACTTCTGATTAAACACACACAAGTGCAAAATACAGTGACAGTGGGATTTGTGTTGGTGGTCACGTATTATCCTTCCATATGTCTTTATAAAAAGAGATGCCAAATAACCTTCTTCTAGGCTCCTCTTGTACTCTCCATTTCTTCTACTATCACATGAGGCAACTCGCTCACACAAACATTCTCTTTACCTTGAATTTGACCAGGCTCTCCTTCTCCTTTCTTCTATCTACAGACAAGGGTTTCTCGTTATCAAAAGAACTTCTTGGTATCGCAACGGCCTCTCTAGCTAATGTACTCTACTTCTTTCTCTGCCAAGCTTTCCGAAAGCAGTGTGGACTTGTACCTCCTACTTCGTCACCAACCTGTGTGCCTCTGCCTAGGCGAATGGCCTTTGCTTTCTCTCGTCCCAAGCGCCCGTACCAGCTAACCCAACAGCTGCAGCTACAACTGAGTCGTAAAGTAGTGTTGAGCAAGTTAGCAGAAGAGGTATCTTCATCCAAACAGACACAAAGCTTGACTGACGGACTTGTCTCTTTTGACAGATTCCCTTCTCCAGAAAGAAAACAACAGCAACCCTGTCAATGGCCACCCCTTGGGCCTTTCTTTTCCTGACCCTTTGGGCACGATTTCATACAACTGAGTACCCTCCTGTGGAAATTTTCCTGTCTCTTCTCCGTTGGCCTTTATGATTCACTTTAGTAAATTCTCTTCTCTATGGGTACACTTATTACAGCTAGAAGTCTTCAGTCCTCAGAAATTTTTCCTTTCTGCTGCTCCCTCATCAATTCCGTTTACTTTTGGTTTTAAAAAACATCTCAGTAAGCACCATATCTAAACCTTTGTGTCCAACTGTCCACTGGCTATTTTCACACAAATTCAAGTTTAAAGGCAAACCCATTACTTTAGGAATACCACAAAAAACAGGTCTTCTAAGTTGACAGGACCTTGATTTTGAGATTAACGCACCTCTGCCTAAGGAGAGTTGCACTAGAAAGAGTTCGCGGATTGTGAGCTGATTAATGAAAGAGCTCCACAATGCCATTAGTTCAAGGGTAATGATTACCATCTGTAACACACAGGCTCTACCTTTGGGGAGGACATTAATGAAGTTATCTGGCAAGTATGATATCAGTTATGGGAAAGTGGAAGACGGGTCACAGGAGACGGCCTCATAAATCTCAGACTTGCTTCAATTTCTAAATCCAACGGCAAATGGTCCTTTCTCACTTCTCCTGACCTTTCTTGCACTATTTCACTGCACACAGTTGGTTCTCAAGAGATTTGGGGAAAAAAAGAGTTTCCTAGACTCCAACATAATTGGTTCCCCTAAAAATACTCCTCCTCCCACCTGCGTTCCCTATTTCTGCATAGAATATGGAATTGTTCTCTCAGTCACCATGACACAAAAGCTCAAATTTAACTATTTCTCTTAAATCCAACATCTAAAGCAAAAATCAAGGCTACCAATTCTTCCCTTGGAACGAACTTTTCTCAAATAATCCTTTCTTTCCGTTTCTTCTCCCACATCCACAGCAAACATTTTTAACTCATTCACATTTTTCCACGGAGTCAGGAAAAGTCTCAGGCTCGCTCAAGTGAGACCTTTTTAAACCCACCATTAGTGGATCAAAGCTGGCCCTTTAGTTTAAACTGCTTCAGGCCTCCAATCTCTCCTTGTGCCAATCCATTCTGCATGCTAATACCGGGTTGAGGTTTCAAAAGCCGTTTATCATGTCACCATCCTGGCAAGCCACTGAACAAAGCAACTCTAAACCCCTCATTGGACACTAAACATCGTTCACAATCTGTCAACAATGCACCTTTCCCCCTAAACCTCTACTTCCTCTACAAATCATTGCTTGTGACAGGTGTGCTTGGTCTTGCCTTAAAGCACCTGAATCTTTGACAATACACCCATACTTTCCCTCTCCCATCTTTTGGAATTTAAATGATAAAAAAACCAGCTTCATACTCCACTTTATCTATGAGGCATTCCTTCCCCTGCCTCTAAAAAGAAGTGCACTTACCCTGTAAACCACTCATTGAACATTTTGCTAAACGTAGGGTCCAATTATACATCTAAGTGATGCTGTCTCCAAAATCAGACTGTACATTTTAGATATACTGACATACTTTTCCACATTAAGCCTGTGGCTGAGAACCCGCGAACTAATAATTCTATATTTAATTCCACAGAATAAAAAGATGTCCCTAAGGCTTTGCATTGGAGTAACTCAAGGCCACAGCAAATTATAATGGATCTACTTTCCTCAAGACAAATTAACTGCTTAAAATTTTTAAGCTTCGGTTGTAAAAGGATGTGAGAGCTGCCTATACGGTGTAGGCAGGGGCCTTGCAGTGAAAAGTCTTCATCCATGTATCTGATAAAGCTGCTACATGAGAAAGCATTTCAACATTACAATGAGGGCATTCCTAAAAATTCTCCAAGAATTAAACCAACTGTGGAAATACCCCAAAGAAAATGAACACTTGTTTCTATAAAATGTGCATCGTACTATTCCTTGAGCAGGAATAAACCTGTGCCTCGGGTTTAAATGGGACACTTCCTTTCTCTGGTCCACAACAGTCTGAACACCAGTAGAAAAACTAGGAGAGGATTTAGGCACTGCAGCTGAAACATTCCAGTGGGAATGATTCCTTTTCTTAAAAAATGTATTTACAGTGCAACTGTGTTAGAATTAAATAACAGAACTGTATCCATATCCACTTTGGATCCTTAACAATAACAGTCAACTGAGCAAGTTCAAGTTCACCATATACATACAGCAAAATCATTCAATCCCTGTGGAAAAGAGCTTTCATTTAGCTGTTTCAAAAGAATCCAATACTGTTACTTTGGTACTTACTGTCAGCTGATGAGTTGAGTTCTGTTTTGATCTTTGATTTTTCAAGATCTTCTTTATATTCTTTCTTAAGCAATTTTACTATCTTTTTGCTGTAACTTGATTTCTTCACTTTGAAAACTTCTTCATTTTCTTAAAAAAGAAATTAAATAATGTCTGTAGCAACCATTTTCAGGCAGTACCTTCCAACTTCCACAAGATCATATGTGCTTTTTCGCAGTCATCCAAATAGATACTCATACACCCCAAATCATTACATAATTTGAAGTTCTTCCAAATCTGTCACTGGCTCTCAAAAACCTGAAGTATGCTTCATAAATTAACCTCATAAAACACAAATCTGAGACGTTTAAAAAGGCATAACACATGCAGCTGTGTGAAGTTTTCATATATCCTATTATCTTTTTTAAGTCCTCTATTCCAGGAGGAAAATAAAACCATCAAAAAAGCACTTAGTTACTGCATTATTAACATATCTGAAACAAAACATCCAAACTCAAAAGGTTCTGGGTAACAGAGCTGTCAAGTCTGAGTACATCTATATTCACCACAAAGTGACATGTTATTTCAAGACTAAGCTGCAAGCAAAGCGCTTTTCAAAAATAAGTTTGGGTAGGTATCCACCATCTTCGATTTGAAGACTTTAAAATCAAATGCAAACATCTGACCAAATAGTTTCCGCGTTAAAAAAAAATCTGGCTGTAGTCCTCTCAAGCAAACGGGGCCAAAGACCAACTGTCTACCTTACTGGAAAGATGAAAGCGTCTTGTAACAACATGCAATAAGATGTACAAGTCTTTTTTTTTATAACCTGCACTTAAAATTGGCTTTCATAAACACACACTCAACTGGCTGGGAAGTCATGATTTTAGGCTCATTTATGATCCGAAGTCTATATCCACAGCAGCCTGGCTGCTCACATCCGAATGGATAAATGGCCTTAAATTACTATGACACCGTCTCTCTTCATTGTCCAAAAAGCAACGCGAAGAAAGCCAGACATCTGTACCCCTACTGATTTTCACGCGTTAGCAGAGGCTGGTGATTGCAAGGGACTGACCCAAGGTCACTCGGAACCGGAGCTTCAACTCCGGGATTCTGTTCCCAGAAGTAGGAAGCCATACTAACCCAGCCTTCCTAGTCCCCGCTATCTGGACCGATCCCCCAAGAGACGTGGGCACAGGGACCTGCACAAGACTTGGGAGGCCGTGCCTAGAGCAGACAGGGGACCAAACTCAAGTTTTCCCTGAAACACACTCGCCAGGGCGGGGGATACTGAATTTCCACTTGAAAAACTCGGAAAGACTGAGCTGCGCTCCCGCCCCTACGAGTAAGAAATGCACAGGAGGACGGTAAGGAGGAGGCGGTTGTTAAGAAAAGGCTGGTGGCGGCGCGAGAACGCGTCCTCCGCCGGGAGCAGAAGGCCGGAGGCGGAGAAAGATGTGCAGCAGGTCGGGCGCGAGGGGGCTCGGTTCCGGGCTGCGGGGGCAGGACGTCCACGAAACGCGGGGACTAAAGGTGGGGGCCCAGGGCAGGATGCTGGTCTGGGGCGCGAAGCGCGGCGGTTACCTACCTTCCTCCTCGTCCTGGAAGCTGAGCAGGCTGGCCCGAGGCACCTCTTTGTTCTCTCGCGGCCTCTTGCGCGGCTTCAACCCGTTGCCGGGCTCCGCGCCGCCCGGGAAGCAGCCCCCGGCCTCAGCCCCGGAGCCTGGGGTCAGCGCGGAAGGCGGCGGCAGCCCCGGAGCCTGCAGCGACTCCCCCCCAGGGGCCCTGTCGCCGCCGCCGCCGCCACCGCCGCCAGAGCCCGGGTCTTCGCCGGTGCCCGGCGGCGGCAGCAGCGGCGGCGGCTCCTGCTCCTCATCGCGCTCTCGCTCCTCCTCCTCCGAGTCATTCCGCTTGCGCACGTTCACTCGCCGGGCCTTTCGGAACATCCCCGCGGCTCGCACGGCGGTCTCACACCAGCTCCCACACGGCGGCCCCGGCAGCTCCGAGCTCGCGACGGCGCACGCGCGCGCTCTCCGGAGCTCGGGCCGGGTCCTGGCTTCCCTCGCTCTACCGCGCACCACCGAGCGCGCATGCGGTCGCGCTCTCACTACGTGGAGGGATCTCCGCGTCTCTCGCGAGAACGTCGGCTTTCTGCACCGTCCTCTGTCGGCGTGGAGGACTCTGGGCAGGGAACTCTGGGGCTCGGGTGCTAGCCGATGGGTCACAAAGAAGATCATAGAGACTAGAGGACAGAGTAGGCTCGGGCGACGGTGCTGCAGTGCGTCTTCCGCACTTACGCAGAGTAGTCACGCGAGGAAACCTCCCGCCAAGCGGTGGGAGGGGCAAATAGAGAAGAGCAGTGAGGGGGAGAGGGGAGGGGAGGTGGGGAGGAGCCAGAAAGAGAAAGCAGGTTTAGTAAGGGAAAAGTAAGGTTCCTGGATTGGGACAGGAATTTAGCCGTGATATGGTAATTTTTACTAAGTCTCTTGAGTCACACTTCGTATTTCTACAGCTTTGTAGCCACAGAGCGCTTCCAAAAGCATTGAATTTCATATATGATAAATGGTTTCCTGACCTGGTATCTTAGCCCCTTTATTTCACCGAAGGCAAGCGTGTTTCAGTGCTTTCGAAAGAATGCCAAGAGTACGAGCAGTTCTGAAACATGGCTAATTTCAGAAACGGAAAGCAAGTCGACTTGCCGGAGCGGGGATGGTTGTGACACATTTCAGCCTTGCGTCACAAACGTAACAGTCTCAACTGGCAAGGCCCAATGAGAGTCCTGGACTCGCAGTCTTTGCCGTCGAATCGGCCGACTTGAGGCCTTTTCCTTCCCGTGGGCGCGTGTATGTGAATTCCTTTTCATGTCTCAAAATTCAAAAGGCAACAAAGGGAGTTCGCATGGTGCAAAAAGCCTCTCTAGAAGCTTTCCAGTGTGGCAGCAGTTGAAAGTTTCTCATGATCCTCCTGAGATTTCTATGAACAGAAGAGTAAATATGTATATTTTTGTGGATTATGTTTTCTTTTTTTTTTATGTTTTTATTTATTTCTGAGAGAGAGAGATAGCGTGAGCAGGGGAGGGTCAGAGAGAGAGGGAGACAGAATCTGAAGCAGGCTCCAGGCTCTGACCGGCAGCACAGAGCCTGATGCGGGGCTTGAACCCACGAACCGCGAGATCGTGACCTGAGCCGAAATCAGACGCTTAACCCACTGAGCCACCCAGGCGCCCCGAATTATGTTTTCTACACAGTGTGTAAACTGTATGTTTAGCTTAACATAAATTGGAGATTGGTTGTCTCTGTACATAAAGTGTTGGGTTTTCTTCTACCCAGCTGCATAGCGATCTATTGTTGGAATGTACCATGGTGTATTAAACCAGCACCATAAAAATTGATACTAAGTTTATTTCCAGTCTTGGCTATAGTAATCAAAGCTGCAATGAAAAGCATGGGGGGAAAATGGTCTCCTCTGGAGAATGAACTAGAATTGGTATCGCTAGATCCAAAGGCATGCATTTGTAATTTAGCTAATTCTAAATTGCCCCTTATAGAATCTGTGCCAGTTTGTACTCTTACCAGCAAATAGGAGAGGGCCTATTTGCCTACATCCTGTCAAAATTCCACTGGAGATTTAAGTTCCAAGTTGTAGCAGAAGATCCCAAGCTCATCAAGAATTTCTCTGTCAGGCACATCTGCATCTTTTCTCTGATTTTCTTTGATTGGATTTGAGATCTGCCCAGCCAGGACCCTCTTTTGGAACCTGGAAAGGTGATTCAGGCTAAGAGCACCCTCTGTAACATTGTCTTCTGGTTAATAGGAAAAGCTCCTAACAGCTGGCTCCGTTTCTGCTTCCCTTACTCTTAAGTTCTTATATTCTGGCTGTTCAGCATTGATCAATGTTCTGATTCCAACAGAGTGTTTCATAGTTGAAATTGAACCCCAGTTCCCATCACAGAAGATTCAAATTGTGCCTGATCAGCCTCCAGACACCGGAGCCAAGAAACAGATTTGCAGTAATATGATTAGGGTAGAGGTAACAAACATGAAGTTCAGAGCAGAATGTGTTAATACCTTGGCTTAAAACTTCAAAAAGATCTTCCACTATAAAAGTGGTGGTTGAATATGGAGAACCGTCAGGTAAAACACATGTCATTTTAACATGAGCCAAGATAGTAGTAGACAAAGAATGTATTTATAACTTTGACAGTCTACCTATTTAGATAATTAAAGGGCAGAGTTAAACACTTGAAAGTTATTTTGTTGCCCAAACAAGCCAAAGGTCCTTCCGCAGAGGTTATAGAATTGTGGGAATTAAATTCCTGAAACTGAATAGCTGCTCTGGCTGCCTGTCAGCCAGTATATTATCCAAAACTAAAGATTTTATAAAATGCTTCTGTGCTTGAAGTGTTAAACTAATTCGTTTATTGAATATACTATTGTCATACTGGAATGTCCTTAGCATTCTGGGAAAACAAAGGCCGCTTACCTAGAATTGTTACATCAGTCCTTTTGTTTGAATCAATAAGTTAGTTCAGTTCTTTTTTAAAAAGTCATCTTTCCAAGCAATAATTCTGATTGGTTTCCCTCCCCCCACCAAATTGTGACTTTGCATGGATTAATTGACCCATAAATTCGGATAAAATAGGCAGACCAGTTTCGTGCTGTTTGCTGACTCAGTATTAGACTCTGTAGTCTAGAACAATGGTTACGAAACGCAGGTCTGTGGACCTGTGAAGAGTTTTCCTGAGTCAGCTGCCAAATGAGAAGACGAAGAACAGTCTGTCTGTGTAGAGCAGCCAGATGTCCTTTCTTGGGGAAAAAATGGTCCATTATTTTGAGACTGTCTTCTTCTTTCCAGGTTAGGATACTAAAATCTCCAGGTGCTTGGGTGGCTCAGTGGGTTAAGCGTCAGACTTCAGCTCAGGTCATGATCTCACAGTTCATGGGTTTGAACCCCATGTCAGGCTCTGTGCTGACAGCTTAGAGCCAGGAGCCTGCTTCCAATTCTGTGTCTCCCTGTCTCTCTGCCCCTCACCTGCTCACACTCTGTCTCTCTAAAAATGAATAAACATTAAAAAAAAAAAAGATACTAAAATCTCTCTCCCTCCGTGAAACTATGATGGTATATGATGGCATATGTGTTTGTTTTTGCATTCCTTATCTGACAAACTAAAAAGTAGTGAAAGCTAAATTTTTTGTTCTAAAACTTTTATTTGGCGGGTAAAATCTCATAGTCTAGGAGTGCTTGATCTAGGAATCTTTCTTTTCTTTCCAAAACTATAACTGAATTATTCTCTTCTGGAAAAATCACTTAATAATTTAAATATCCTTAGAGCTTGCCTTGCTGAAGGCAGTCTTGCATTAACTGAAGTAAAAGGGAAGCCTCACAAGAGAAGAGAGTTTATGTTTTGTTCTCTGCTATCTTCACAGGACCTATAGTAGCATTGGCATGCAATAGGCAATACATATTTGTTGACTGAATGGTACTAAACATTATCTGTTTATTCAATTAGTGATAAATATTTTATCCTATGTTGATATAAATTACCATTTTCTATAGCTTATATCCCTTTATTCTCGAAACAAGATTGCAATACGTTTTTTACAAATTACTGGGTAGATGAGTTCTTAAAGCAGTAAGTTCCCATCAGCCTTTGGAAACTGCCTCTTGTAGGGAGAAAGGCACTCCCCACCCAGGGAAGGCTGGAAGCCTGGGCAAAGGATGGGCACCTGATCCAAGGTGGGCCAATCAGATTCTCTCAAGATTTTGCACTTGAAACCCAGACAATGAGTCCTTGTCTGTGGCTGGAATTGCAATGAAATCAAGAGCCCAAGAAAGCCATAAATTACCATGTCAGTTCAAAAGCTGAGAAAACTAGTGTGCATAGCAGGAAAGAAGAATGCGCTAGAAAGTAAAAGACAAAATAGCAAGTGGGATCCTTATGTCTTCCTGGTTCTTGTTCTTAATGCCCTTGAAGCAGGACAGCACTCCCGTCTATAGGCTCCCTGAAATGCCCCCAGACTCCTTAGAGTAAACTTCTTTTTTCTTTTGTTGCTTTTGAGGATGTTTTATTGTTTGTGTGTGTTTGCTTAAAATGATTCATGTTTGTTTCCATTAGTTAGAATGGAATAACACTTAGGACCAAAGAATTCTAACAAAATAACTAACAGTTACTTTAATTTTGTAGCAATGTTAATTTTATCTGTGCAATTTATATAAGTGCGGGTTTTTAAAAAAATGTTTACCAGCTTAATAATTCTTCAGCCTTACTGTACTTGTTTTTAGAGTTTTCTTTTCTTTTTTCAAGATGTCCATACAGATACGTTCATTGGCATTTAAGTCACAACCAGATGTGAAGAAAGCTCTTTATCTTGCAGGTATACAGTTATTACAAGTACAGAGAAACAGTACCCCATCCAGAGCATGTGAATGATCCTATTAAAAATGTCAGAAAATTTCTCAATTCTTTGCCTCAAACTTCTACTGAAATTTTGTCATCGTATCTACTTCCACAAGATTATCTTTCCTTTCAAACCATTATTATTGATGGATTCCAGATTAAAAGATATAGCAAAAAAAAAATTTTTTTTGGCCATATTAGAATTTTCAGTGGAGAGATAGTCAACTTTTTAGAATGTTTTGACAATTCAGCTGTTAGGGTGGATTCCTTTGTTTTCTGCAATGACAGTTTCTTCAACAAAAAGAGTGAAATTTCTTTTCATCCGAATTTAGAGTGTCGTAGTAAAAGTAAACAATGTTTTATTTCCTTGCATGGAAATATTGAGCTTATTCAGTATTTTAAAAATACATCTCCTATTTAATCCAAGTAATTCTATTATTATCCATTTATTCAGCACAACTTATTGAACATCTGCTGTGTTTTAGGCATTGTGTGAGGCAGTAGAAACACAAGTGTGAACAAGATAGATATGTCCTTTTTCCTTCCAGACCTGTATTCGGCTGCTGGAGACAAACAAGTAAATAAAATTAATTACTAATTGCAGTTAATATTATGAATAAATCAATAGGATACTCCATCTTAAG